GGATTATAGGCAGTGAAACTAGCCTTTGTTTGCCTTCTAGAAATTTTTTTTTAATAGGTAACCTAGCATACCTCTGGAGTATAGGGTATAAAGTAGTCTTCTTATGTGTTTATGGCTGTACTCAGTTCTCAGCCATAAATGACGAAACTAGTACTTTAATATCTTATTTATAACACCAGCTGTCTGCTTTAATGCTGTTCCTTGAACAAGACCTTCATTTAAGCATGTCTGACTTGATGTAAAAGTAAAAGAGGTCAATAGTATTTCCTGGATATGGCCATACAATATATTGCACCCCATATGTTTTTTGGAACATTACCATTCTGCCAGCCAGATGTGGATCCCAATTACTTTCTCTTTGAATCTGGACTGGCTTGTGATTAATTGGTAAACAACTGATTAGAGCAGAAGTAATGTAAAACTTGGGCATAAAAGGCAATGTAATCTTTGGCTTGTTAGCTGAGAAATTCACCATCAGCACTCAGAGCTATGATATAGGGATCCCGTGGAGGGTGCCATGCTGTGAGGACATACAGTCCCCAGGCAGAGGATTCTAGCACCCAGCGCAGCCTGTGCTTTCAGCACGAGTTACCAGACACCTTTTTTAGTTAGTCTCAGCTCCATTATGCAAGTCACTGTAGCCTCTATTCCTTTCAGGTCAAAGCTTCAGACACCAATGGTCAAATCCATAGTTTTCTGCTATCTTCTCCGTGTATTACAGAGACACAGAATTTATGACCTTAATTCTTTTTAAAAATATTGTTTTAGTTGGGATTAAGCCTTGCGGTTGATTTGATGAGCTGTTTTCTCTGATGTTATGAAGATGAGAATGTCTTTGGGTTGTTAAAGACACAGAAGCTAGGGCACAACTATATCAGGAAGATTTGGGTAATAACCCGGAGATTAAACCAAGGACAGCCCAACAACAAAAATAAAAATGAGAAAACACTTAAGCAAGACACAAAGACAGACTTCCAGTTGACCAATGGCAAACAGTAGGGCAAATGAGGATGAAAAAGGCTGATAGTGAACCACCAGGACACCTTGAACTCAAAGCACAGGAAGTAACAAAACAGATCAATCAGGCTCTAGAAAAATTCGAAACAGAAATAATTTCCCAGATAAACATAGAGATAGTGAGCAAAATGGAAGTCGTGATTCGACACTCTAGAACAGAAACTGACAAAAAAATAGATGAGCTCAGGACCATGATAGAAGCCATGAAGGCCCAGCATAAGAAAGAAATGGAAAAAATAAGTGCCCAACATAGGAAAGAAATGGAATCCATAAAACAAATTCAAACAGATATCCAGGAGATTAAACACTCCATTGATAGTGTACACAAGAGAATAAAAGAATGTGGAGATAGACTCTCAGATATAGAAGATACGATTGCAGTCAGTGACCATGAAAAGAGAGGTCTTTTAAAAACAGTAAGGGATCATGAGAAATCGATCCAACAACTCCTAGATGATGCAAAGAAGAATAACATAAGACTGATAGGAATCCATGAAGTAGCAGGAGAAAATACAAATGACTTAAAAAACCTGTTCACAGAATTAATGATAGAAAACTTCCCAAACAGAGGGGAAGAATTTGACATTCAGATAACTGAGGCATATAGGACTCCAACTAGCTACAATAAAAAAAAAATCTACACCTAGACATATAATAATCAAGATCCCAGAAACCCAACAGAAGAACAAAATACTACAAGCAATAAGAGAAAAGAAACAAATCATATGCAAAGGAAAGACCATCAGAATCACAGCAGACTTTTCAACACAAACCCTTGGAGCAAGGAGAGCCTGGAATGAGAAATTTCAAGTACTAAAAGAGAACAACCTCCACCTAGACTGATGTATCCTGCAAAACTCTCTTTCAAAATGGATGGAGAAATAAGACACTTCCATGACAAAGAACACCTGAGAAACTACATGAATAACAAACCAGCACTACAAGCAATTCTAAACAAGATCCTAGAAAAAGACAATGAAGGCAACAACACCATGAGGCCCAACAGAGCACATCAAATAGGCAAGGCAAGAAACTAAAAGGAGAAGGTGAAAAAGTAAAAAAGAGTCAATAAAAGGCCAATAACATGTCAATAATAAGTCAGTACATATCAGTTATAACCATCAAGGTCAGTGGCCTCAATTCACCAATCAAGAGAAATAGACTGGCAAAAAGGAATACGAAGCAAAATTCAAAAATATGTTGTATACAAAAAACACACCTAGTGCAAAAAGAAGCCCATAGACTGAAAGTGAAAGGATAGAAAACAATTCTGCATGTGACAAGAGCCCAGAAAAAAAACAGGGACAGCAATCTTATTTGCAGACAAAGCAAATTTCAAACCAAAACTGATTCTAGTATTATTGAGGTAGGACGGTATTGTATCATACCTCTATGAATGTAAAATATCTTGTACCTGCTTTATGATACATAGTAGTGACCATGCTTTATCAGAGCTATATTTAATGATATTACTCTAGAATGTTCTCTTTCCAGATGATGATTAAGATGCTAATAAAAAACATGGTGCCAGGTACCACAACAGCAACAGAACTTTGCTGTTTTCTGGATATTATTCTTTTCTTTGTTTTTTTTTTTTTAATGGAATGTGCTGAATATCTATAATTTTGTTCAGATGACTGTAGAACCTGGAAAAGCTATTGCTGCTATCAATGCATAACATACTGCTATTATTAGTCTTTTTATATAAATATATATGTGTGTGTATACACACACACACACACATATATTTATAAATTGAATTTTGGGAAACTTTCTAATGGTGCTGTCAACTTTGGAAAGAGTTATCCCAATTTATTGTGTTGAGTTGGCATTGTACAGAAATGGACAGCCATATTGGTCCAGAAAAGTTATTTTTTTTAATTTTCATTTTTTTTTATTCCATGTATACAGGGGTAATGCATTATACTAAATATGTAAAGTCATATCTACGTGGGTTTGATTACAGAAACTAATAAAGTATTCTCTAAATAATGAAAAAAAGAATAAGATAAGACTACAAGAGCAAGAAGCAATTTAAATATGTTCAGGGACCATTTTCATCTCCAGAATTAAGGATTATTTTAATGTTACATCATTGCCTTTTCTCTTTTACTTTCCTTTTTAGTTTTATTTTAGGATTCCCTATTTTTAATGTTCATACAGAGATTTCTTTAACTGAAATACCAAATAGTTTCTCTGGTGTGAAAAACTATAATAGTACACAGGATCCTAATGAAATAATTTATAATGTGAAATAGGAAGTAAAGGGCTAAAGGTGTAGGGAAAGTGGGAAGGGTGGGGGAAAGGTAATAAGGGAGAGGAAAAAAATATGAGAAACTGAAAAAATGGAAATAAAGTGTTTGTAAATGGGGAGGGGAGCAGGGGGTAAAGGGAGGGCAGGTACAAGGGGAAAAAATGAGAATCAAGACCTATTATGTAAAGGTACAGGATCCCAATGATGAATGTAACTGTATTGTAAACCTAGATTGTACCAATAAACTCAATAAAAAGAAAACAAAACAAAACAAAAAGTATTGTTTTGAGGAGTGCCATGCAGTAATTTTAAGTATAATAGTCAATGTGATTCTCAAGTGTTGTAATGACAGAAGTCAGTTATATGCACCAATAATATTTCAATAAGAAGGGCTGTCAGGACAACAAGGATTTAATTAGAATAGTGCCCAAGAATGTCAAGTCCATTTGTTTCCTTTTTTTTTTATGTAACTGGGTCAAGATATAGTTAGCTATATAGGATAAAGACATAATGACATTAAATTTATTTGAATGTATTCTTTTTAAAGAAACAGAAAAAACACTTGATTAGCATTTATTTTTTTATCCCTTTGTTATTTTTCAGCATTTTCTTTTGCATTTTACTTTTCATCCACAAAGGGGAAAATCATCAAGCACCGGATAACTGACCACTAAATTCTTTATCTTACAATGCTATGAAAGATAAAGTATAAATAAGGTGTTGAATCTGAGGAAACTACTGAATTATTCATTATAAAATGCATGTGGTTAATAACTTCTCTTTTTTTGTTCTTAGATTTTAAAGAAACTTAATTATGCACATGTCCTGTTAAGACTTAATCAAAAGAAGGAAAATCAGACAGCAAATGAAGATAATTTAACAATCTAGATTGTTTCATTTCCCCATGGAGTTCTTTATACTTCATATTATTTGGGAATATTAAGTAGGCTACCTTCCAGGACAATGAGAACTCGATCTTTGAGTCATTTGATCTTGTTTACAATCTGCAGGCTTATGTTGTACACCTCTCTCATTGCATGGGGATTTACAAGCACAAGGTAAGATCAGTCAAAGCTAAGCATGTCAGTTCAGAGACCATTGATGATGCTGGACCCTTTCTTTGTTACAAAGGAATAAAATACATTTTGAACAGAAGAATGTTGAGAGGTAGGAAATATTTCTTGTTATACATTTCTGTTGAGGAAGATTATGTAAATATTTTAATACTGTGTAGATTTTACACAGCATATGCATGGAAAACATGCAAATTTATCTTATTGGAAGTTGTATAAAATTTTGTTAGTCTGATGTAAATATAGTGCTGATAAAAGATTCCTTGCATGGGTACTTAAAGAGCATATTTTTTATAAAATTATATGTTCAAAGGGACAATTTAATAAGTATTCCTCTACATATCACTATAACATATTGGTGATCATGTATGTTGCTTGTCAAGTCTTTTTTTTTATTACGTTACATTTCTAATTTGGAAGAATTTTTGTACATAAACTATGGATAGTTATATTTTTTAAAATCCTAATTCTTTCTTCATTATGCTATATTGAATACTAGACAATTCAATTGTTTTCATATGTATTACTCCTTCAAAAATATTTGAGAAATTTGTACTCAGTAGTTTTAAAATAAGAGTATTGAGGAGAATTCTTTAGCTACAGAAGAGTCAATGATCACAAAGATCAGAGATGCTCTGATTCTCTGGTTGTGGCTACTTCTTGGCCCCTTGCACAGAATCTCTAGCCCCACATTGACTCTGTTATTTCAGGGCCACCTTGGTCCCAATGTTGCTGAGTTCATTGGAAACTTCTCAGGAGCATTTGATCCATTCTTTTCGTAGTTGTCAAGACTTCAGCCATCTGCACTTCTATTCTGTTTCTTGTGTTGCTTTCACCATGTTCTTTGCTGTGTGTTCTCCTTATTAGACCTGAAAATGATGAAATGTAATAATAAAAAAGAATTAAAAGTATACATTATAAACAATGCAATGGATATAAAAGTGCATGTGACATGGCCCGTGACTTAAAGCCTATTTTATTGTAAACTAGAAAATGAGATGAGTAATAATAACCATATAACAAGGAGAAATATTGAATGAGCACTGTGAACTTCTATTTGTCCCTGTACTTTTAGATTGCTTCACACTATGCTGCACATAGTAGCCAGAGATACCTTAAAACACAGTAAAGATAATGTCTTTCCTAGTGGAACTCCAACTATAGCTGTTTTCTCTTGGTTGAGGTCTGTATTGGTCAGGGTTCTCTAGAGAGAATCAAAATAAAAATATATATGTATCTGTTTGTCTCCGTGCTGCAGAGCCATAGGGTGGCTTAGTTCAAGAAGCTGCAAGCTCCACAACAAAAGGGGTCAAGAATGCAGTGCCAGTCTGGGAAAGAAGACCCAAGGTCTCCCTGGAGAATTGCTGGTGTGAGTCATATTGAAAGGATGAAAAAGCTGGAATGTGATGTTCACAGGCAATGGTAGGCAGTAGAAAAGACACAACTGCTCAAGTAGGACGGAGCTTTGTAAACACCAAGTAACTTCGTTTTTCCTCTAAGTCTACCTAGGCTTCAACCCTAGTGTGTGATGCAGTCCAGAACAAGGCAGGTCTCCCCCTCCGCTTTTGGCCTGCATGGTAGTAATCTCTAGACACTTCCACCAACTCACCCAAAATTCTGTTTCACTAATACACCAGGCATCCCATAATCCAGTGCAGCTGACTATCATAATTAACTGTCCCAGGGTCTCTGCATTACCTTTGGAAGGGGATTGTGTGGAGGAGAATCACGCTTCCTCACGCTGAAGGAGCTCTTTCTTCTTCATTCTGAATGTGTGGAGTCAATTTAAGATGGACATGAAGTGGATAGTGCATACCGAAAGATAGGAGAAGATAAGCCTTATGTAAGGATTAGTTAGTTCCACCAATTTGAAAAATATTGGTAGTTTAGGTATAGCAGAATGGGTATTGGCATCTGAATTTCATTTGTCTTTTGGTTCTAATAATTGAAGTTACTTTTCCCAGCCAAAATTGCTTTCTAAAGGACAGGATGTATAAGCACCAAGACTTAATTAACCACTCATTAAGTCTATAGGATACAGACTTAGGTATTTACCCATTTGATGTATACTAGAGTCTCAATATTACATGGAAATTACAACATATAATGATAAATGATGATGGTATATATGTATTATTATAAAATCATCTACTTAACATGTACTTGGTTACAGTTACATATAAAGTATGCTATGGTTAATTTTTAGTAAACTATTGTATGGTAAACAATAGAAGTGAATGCCATAAAACTCACCGAGTACTTGCTTTGAATTTGGGATTTATTTTTCTAACATTATAGTCACTCGTCATTTTTCATAAATAAATCTTTCATGGCTTAGAGCCTGTCAGTGATATTAAAATCTTTAAAGACAAAAAGGAAAACATAAAATCACTTTGCTGAAAATCACTGCTTGCTTATAATAAAGTAATTTAAGCAGTCAAAAGATGACAGTGACAATAAACAGAACTTTGATAATGGTGATGTTGATAATGCAAATGTAGTAAATATTTATAATGTTCCTTGTGCTCATTGTGTGATATGGATGTCATTATAATCCCCATTTTACTGTTGAAGAAAGAGAGGAACAAAAGAGATAAATAAATCGACCAAAGTAGCTAATAACTGAGAGAGCTAGCATTTTTAACCAATTCATATTTTCTTTGAAATCTAGAAATTCTGAGGGATAATTTCTCTGGATTACCAGGCATATAATTATCAAGTTACATGAAATAAATGATAAATAAGACATATATGGTAGAAACACTTTCCCATTATTGTGTTATATCCTCAATACTTAACTAGCATATGACTAATTCGATACAACGCAGTTGTTACAAGGTGAAAAGGGAAGGCAAAGAAATTACGGGTGACCTACATCATTTCTGCTTCCAGTTGCCATGAATTTTTGAGCTTTCAGGAAAAGAATTCAGGAAAAGTGTCTGACTATGAATGAATCACACTTTGGGAACTCATCCTGGAAGACGGTCTCAATCAATAATAGGGACAGAGGGTCTGATTTAGTTTGACATATTGCTGGCATGTTGCGAATCTCCACACCTGTCAAGATTTTGAAAAACATAAAAGTAGTTTTCAAATATTCAAACCTGGGCACAGGGAGATTCTGAGACTCACAATTCAAAAGGAAATAAATTGTGTCAAGTGTTTACTACTCAAATTCTACCTGAAAATTGGCACATCAGGTTTGCAGGAGAGGGTGGGTGCTTTATGTCCGTTTCTGGTAATAGCAAGGAGAGAGAACTGCAGATAGGCAGCTCTGAATGGTACAGAATGGGACAGGGGCACCACTGTGTAGATGGGCCAAGAAATGCCAAAAAGATAATCTTCTTTGTATGAATTTGTCCACTTTCACATATCTCACTACATCTGCTTTCAACTCTAAAGTTACAGGAGATACTTTTTTTCAAAGAGCCAAAAACATAGAGAGTGATTCCCAACGAATTTACCCACACAAACTCCTCTCACATATTTTTATTTTTAAGGAGTACTATTGCATTTTCACTTCACAAATGATCAAGAACCCCAAAGGTACGTAGACTAAGACGTAAAGTACGCACAAACTGCTATTTCTTTATTACATTTTGCAGTAATCATTTCTTGCCAGTTGGGGTTTATCCTGATAATTTTATTTCTGTGTTTTGCATACCTATTCAAGTGCATACATACTTGTAGGAAATGGTAGTTTGGGAAATACTGTCTGGTTTTTCTTGTTGGTTGGGTTTTATGGTACCATGGGTTGAACCCTAGCCTCCTACCTGCTGGACAAGTGCTCTAACCTTGACCAACTCCACAGTCCTTATTATTTTATTTTGTGACAGGGTCTAACTACATTTCCCAGGCTAGCCTTGAATTTACAGTTGATCTTCCTACATTATCCTCCAAAATTGCTGAGAATAAAGACTCACATGCCACCATACCTGCCCTATTTTTTTTCTCCTTTCCTTTTAAATTGAGCAATGTCTCTTAGGTATCTTTTCATGTTATTCTTCCAACAGTAGAATGGAGGTTAAAAAAGAACTGTGAATACTATTGCTTTAACCAATTATATGTGAATGGACAAAATGGACATTAGTTTGTTTCTTATAGTGTTGTCAGTGTTTTTGCTTCTAGGCACAGTGCTGTGGAAATTCACTTTGATTCATGGTTGGATAATTAGCTCCAGACTTATATTCGCATAGAAATAAACATTAATAAAACTGGACCCAATATATGAGATGATCACAATATCAGAGATGAAAAAATGCTGTGACATATTGGAGTTCAACACATGACAGTACGTGCTTTCTGACATAAAATAGACACTGTGAACTGCTGCAGTTAAAGATCTGCAGTGTAAGTGGACAGAAAATCTTAGCAAAGAGTAGAAAGTATAAAAATTAACTATATAGACTTTTAATAATCATTCGTGGTATTTTTCTATTTTATGTTCTTTTCTCAATTTTGCCTTGCTTATTACAGATCATGTTCATTTATTTATGCGATTTGCAATTATTTTGTTTCTTCATCACTACTGAGAATTTTATTGTTTATGAGAATCCCATGAGATGTCTTCTATAGATAGAAGCCTATCTGTATGGACGGGTCCTTTTTTCAGTCAGATCAAGGTCAATTTTAACATTTTGCTATTGGTTTATTTTTGATTTCTCACCAGTATACATAAACATCAGGTGAATTTGTACTTCAGATTGACATTTGATTTTGCATTTTTATATTTAACACTTGGAAAATGAAAACTGATAAGGGTTATATAAGCTACTATTTAAAGGGAAATATAATTACAAGATAGTGTCTGGGACAAAGGATGTGAACCAAGAAAAAGCAGGAAGTCAGTGTGATGACTGCTGTCTCTCTGGCAACTGCTTGGTGTGGTGTGTGACTGATGTCTTCCAATACTGTGATTATGTCGCTGAGAAATTTTAAAAATTGTTTATCAGTAGCATCACTGTGAGTGTGACTATGGCAGGGAGAAGAGAGGCAAAGTTAGTTGAGAAAGAAATGGTCCACCGGACTCTCTCTCCTGTTAGTTAAAATATTAGGTGTGATGAAAAAAAGGGTGAATAATAAAATTTTCAAACTGAATTTCAGTAAAAGACACATTGCGTTAAACCCCTGCAAAATACTCCCACTCACCTCTAACACATTTATGCCATCACACTTACCATTTTCTGGAGAAGTTTTGCAATTTCTCTTTTGTAACTATTTGTCTGTTTGTTTTCTAATACCATGCTGTTCTGGTTTCTGTTTCTTGAAATATTCTGTTACCTTGAATCAGGTACTGTGATGTCTCCAGCTTTGACTTTTGTCTTTGTCACCTTTTCTCATTGTTGGGAGAAAATTGCCAAAGGAGGAGAGGTTTATTTGTGCTAATGGGATTTAGAAGTTTTGGTCCATAGTCAACTGGTAGCTAGGCAGAAAGGGCATAGCAGAGCAACTTAGCAGAGGAAAAGCACTTATGTCATGGAATCCAGGAAGCAGAGTATGAAGGGCTCAGCCAAGGAGGAAGATGAATCCCTTTTCCACCTCTGCTGACCAGACCCATCTACTGCCAGCATATTCAGCTATTAATCTAATCCACAGATGAATATGGTGCCTTCATGACCCAATCACCCTTTCCAAGCCTGTCTCTGAACATGTCCAGCTTCGGGGGGATATTTTAGATCAAAACCACAACAATATGTTTTGCTTGATTAGTTTTTTTAGTCAGCACTTTTTATACTTTTATATGAAATTTGGGAGTTTTAGTATCTCTGTAAAACATACATTTCTAGTTCTTTTATTCTCGTGGTTGCTTTCATGTCCATATTTAGTGCTTAATGTCTAAATTACAGATCTTCTTTCTCATATTATGCAGGAGTAAATGTATCATGCTGTCATGATCCACGTGAGAGAAGATCATCGATTTTTCTATATATATGCATAAATATACATCTATCTATCCTCTATCATCTGCCATCCACCTCTCCCCCCTGTCCCTCTCCGTCTCTCTCTCTCTCTCTCTCTCTCTGTCCCTCCTTCCCTACCTCGCAGGAAATCAAATAAGAAACATATGACAAGATGTGTGTGAATTTATGTATAACCTATGGAATTCTATGTATATCTTTTTATGTTGGTTTTTATTAATGCATACATTTTCAAGAGAGGAACAATCAGTCAGTTTTAGTGTTCCACAGTTCCCATGACAATGCCTCACTTCACAATTTTAGGGTTTATCTTACCCAGTTTCTATAACAAAAATCTGGCTCTAAAGACAATGCCAGTTTTAAGGTTATCTGAATAAGAATATACATATAATCTGGTCAGTCTTGTTTATTTTAAAATAGTTTGTCTACTTTAGGACATTGCTTTGTCTGTTTTTCTCATGTGCACATCATTACAGGTACATCTGCCTGATCTTTGGTGTCAGATCCACAATGATTCCACAAGTATATAAATCATGCAACCACCAATACTGTGGGCCAAAACAGTGCATTAGTGTATGCACTTATGTTTATTAGTTTTAAAAGTGTGAATTAGCTAAATTAATGTTAATGTTTTTAAAATAGTACTCTTGATCTGAAAATTCTGACAAAAATTTTGGGAATGATTTCTGTTAAGTACTCTCATAGCAGAGATTATAGCTAGAAAAGATAAAAGAGTGTTAACTCATCACAAGATGGAGGCTAAGACATAAAGTAGAAGTAGATTAATTAACTCTCAAATAAGAACAATGAAGTGATTCCCTATTTAATTGCTTGCTTCTGGTCCTCATCTTAGAGTTGTTTCTATAGGAACAGAAATTCATCAAAGTTCTTTGGCTTTTTTTTTTTTTTACCCCCTTCTTATTTAACCACAGTGATGTTTTTGCAATGTAGCTCCAGGGAGAAAGTCTTCTACTAGAAGTCTGGAACAAATAACCAATTAATAAATGCCAGATTATTGTGCATTACATAGAGACCTTTCTGGAAAGTGGTGAATGGATACTTTCAGGCAGTAATAGACTTGAAAATTCATGGACAGTACAATATCAGGTATATTGAGCTTGAAAAAATGAGTCTGATGCATGTCACAAAGTAGAGTTCAGAGCTACATGCTCAACCAAGAGCTAACACATGTCCAATATAATGACTTTAGGCATTGGAGCAGAGCGGAAGACCCATGGAATTCCTTTTTATCTATACTAGATTATCAGTACACATAGCCTTTCTCTTCATAAGTTTTACTCATTTTCCTCTGGCATTTGATGGATGTGGCCTGGATACAGTTTTCTAATTCACTGGAAACACACAAAAGTCATATCTGTAGCTAGAAGTAAGAATTGCATTAGTTTTAGAATAATGTCAATCTCCACTG